GAGCCCTGCATCAGGCTCCCTGCTCCGCAGGAGGCCTGCTTCTCCCTCTCCCACTCCCACTGCTTGTGTTCCCTCTCTCACTGTGTCTCTCTCTGTCAAATAAATAAATAAATCTTAAAGGCAGTTAAGCTCAAATAGTTTTAATTAGCAATATATTATATATATATAATCAAAAACCTTAAAGGAATAGATTCTAAACCATGTTTCCCAGTTGTTACCTTGATTCAGATGCTGCTTTAACTCATTTTTTCCATTAGCAAATAACTATGCAATCCTGCGATATGTGCTGGGAAGGAAAGTGGCCATGTGTTAATTGGGAAACCTCACCCATGTTGGAGAGGAGTCAAAGGACTGCCTCCTAGTAGAGACTTGAAGGATAAGTAGGAAGGAGCTCATCAGGCTGGGGGCAAGAGAAAATGTTGAGCCTTCTGGGTAGATAGAAAGGCAGGTATAAGACGCTGCGGCATGCAGGAAAGAGGTATATCCAGGGAATTAGGGAGGGGTGTCTCACATGGCTGGAACACACAGAGCGAGGCAGTGGTTAGAAGTTAAAGCCAGAGACATGCAGTTGCCTAAACCCTGTACGCATCTCTGGAGCTTTGTTCTGGCTCACCATCACAGCCCCCACAGTATCTCTTCATTCCTAGCCATAACCTCTGCCTGGGCCTGGCTGTGAGTAAGCAGGCCAGTGAGCATTCCTCGGCTGTGACATTCATGAAAAGAAGGGTGTCAGTTGGCCTTTCTGGAGCTCTGGAGTCTGACTCGGCCTACATGGTCCTGGGCCTTTTCCTTTTGGCATCACTGCACTAAAGGTCCACGTTACAGAAAATAATAAAAATAGAACTTCCAAGAAATGTCTTGCAATTACTATAAAAAATAGCTGTTGCTTCACCACCCATTCCCGCTCCCCTACCCTGCCATTCAGTTATTCAGATTAAACCAGGAATTCCTGCTATAGAAATAGATGTTCACCCAAAACATACTAGAATGGACAAACAGTTCCCTCTGTCAGCTTCCAGCCATGAGCAAGACTTGGAATAAAAACTGCCTCTGATGAGAAGTCTAGATCTTTTGGATCTTACAAATCTCTGTCATACTGTGATTAGTGGGTTTCATTATGATCTGCTTTACATATTGGGCTTTTGCATAAAATGTTGCTTGAAAAAAAGGTTGCCCAACTTAAAAAGGGAGGGGGGCATCCCTGGTGCTTTATGGAGAGATCATTTTGAACTGTCACCGTGTGTTTTGGTACAAGTACCATCTGAAGAAACCCATGCAAAAAGTTGGAGCGCCCAGGCCTGGTCTGAAGTCCTGGGTACTGAAATAGCTTCCCCCTTTCCCTACCAAAACAGTGTTGTAGCAGTCACGTCGAGGGGAGCTCTTAGCACTTCCATCTGGTAGAAGACATGGCCAGCTGCTTCGCATTTATGGCAGTTGTCACCCCCACCCCCAAAACTCATCTGCCTGCCGTAGGGTGTTGGCAGGTTAAGACCCTTGGCAGCAGAAGAGTGTGTTCCCGACCCATCTCTCTCTGTAGGCTTACCTCAACCTCTCTTGGAACTGAATGACTCTCCTGTCTACAAAACGGTCTTGGAAAGAATGCAGCGTTTCTTCTGCACTCTCTATGAAAACTGGTAAGAAACCCATGCTGTTTCTCTCTGGTCTCTTTTTGGACATGCGTAGTATAGGAATGCCATGGATAGGGCTTCTGATGTAGACGTCTAGTATACGGGTAAGGTGGGGCCAAAATTTGACAGGAAGCCAATGATTCTAGTGTCACACCGAAATGAATTGGCCGGCTTTCTTGCATTTGCTTTTTTATAATTGTCATATGTGTCTCCGCCCTAGCCATGACTTGAGATTTTATGCCTAACTTGTCTGCTTCTGGTGCATAAAATGCTGAGACCACAGTATAAGATCCAGTGAGTGAGGCTGCATTTTCTCAGAACTCTCATTACTCAGCTACTTTGAACAGGACTCTGGAGGCCACTAGCCAGACTTTGTCTTTGGGTCCTGGTTGTAGGATGGGGAGGTAACTGGCCCTCCCGTAGCACACCACACCCCAGATAACTGTCCTCACTCACCCAGTGCTCCGGTCAGCCAGGCTAACCAAAAGAGACTGTTTGTGGTAAATCTATATTGCTTATGAAATAATGAAGGCTACTGTTGATCTCGGGTGCCAACATCTGCCTTTAAAAAGATGCTAAATCTACTATCAAGTTCCCTTAAAGGCGGGTGAGGGGTGCATTACTGATTGAGCTGAAGGTCTCTTACGAACCAAATGCAATTGCTTTTCTAGCTGAGAAGTCTTAGCATAGGCTAGAAATTCCTGGGGCATTCGGGGCTGGCAGGGACAAAGGTGGGGTTTGTCACTGGCTGTGATTTTCCCTTACAGTTTCCATATTCTCGGGAAGGCGGGTCCTTCCATGCAGCAGGACTTCTACACTGTGGAGCACCTTGCTACTCAGCTCCTCAGCTCGGCCTTTGTCAACTTGAACAATATTCCTGACTACCGACTCAGACCCATGCTTCATATCCTTTCCAAAGTCCCTAGATAACCCAAAACCCAAAGGGCCGGAGGGTTGCAGACAGGAGCAGCTTTCAGGCACCAGAGGAGACAGAGCTGAGCAGGTGGAATAGATGGGCTCATTTACCCAAGTGTGTGATAACCACAGGAAGTGGACGAGAAGGTTGGCAGAAATGCAGGAAAAACAGGAAGGCAGGCCAGCGGGGCTGGAAAGTGTTCTCCTTAGGGGTAAATCTTGACCCTCCCACTTCTTGGAAATAGGAAAGATAAAGGTTTTTTTGGTTTTTTAATCTCTTTTCTGCATCCTATCGGGTGCTTCCTCTCATACTTCATTCTCATTTGGACTCTTTTTTTTTTTTCCTTTAAATGTTTTTGAGAGTATCTTTCTTCTCTGAAGTTATAAGGAGACTAGCAAAGGAGAGTGTTCCCCCTCTTTTTTCCTTCTGGACAAATAAGTGTCTGTAATGTGCAGCCTAGTATCCATTCCTGAGCAGCCCGGGGTTTTGGAAAAGAGCTTGAAGATTTTTGCCTTTTTTTTTTTTTTTTTTAAGATTTTATTGATTTATTAGAGCACAAGTGGAGGGGAGGGGCAGAGTGAGAGGGAAAAGCAGACTGCCTGCTGAGCGGGGAACCCGATGCGGGACTCTATCCCAGGACCCTAGGATCATGACCTGAGCTGAAGGCAGATGCTTCACCGACTGAGCCACCCAGCCACCCCGCATTTTCGCCTATTAACACAGAATGTCCTAGGCATCTTGCAGGTCCTTTGGGGGTTGACTCTGCCCATAGGGATATCCTGCTACGTGGCAGGACAGGGGTGCCTTAGAATGAGAGGGGTCCGTGCTCCTGTGCTAAAACTTCTTAACCCGCCGCGCCATGGGTCTTTGTGAAGCCTCTGGTGCTCTTCTGTCCCCCGGAGCACTACGAAGCCCTGGTGTCTCCAATCCTTGGACCTCTTTTCACCTACCTCCACATGGTAAGAGGTCGGTCAGAAAGGGGAGCAAAGAGGACACTTAGGCAGGTTGGCCTGTCATGAGTCTTGCAAGTCAGGAGTTCCTGAAAGTGTTGTCTCCTGGTCCTGTCCAGAGGGCCGTGCAGCAGTCCCAACACGGCAGGCTTTGCTTGCTGCAGCAGATTGAGCACCCCTGAAGAACTAAACTGGTTCAGTTGCCCATGAAGACCTGCAGACTCCAGTTCTGCTCCTGACCTCCAGTTAACTGAGGAGAGGTGGTCAGGGGAGTGCCTTCCCTGGGTCTCTTTCCCCAACTGTGGGATTAAGCAAAAGGACCAGCTAGGTGGAGAACAGTGTCCAGAGAGACCTGGGAATTCTACAGTATCATTGATTCTTTCCAAGCATAGGATATCCTGTCCTCGTCATGGGTGCGGGAGAGGTTCTAGAAACCGCATCTGCTGGTTTAACCTTGTGGGGCTTCCCAGGGCTCTGTCATTGAGACCTAGAATCCTCAGCTCATTCTAATCATGAAGTGGACCTTAGATATTATGTTTCAACCTCCTCCCCACTATCAGCATTATTTCCCTTTTGTTTTCCCAGAGGCTTTCCCAGAAATGGCAAGTCATCAACCAGAGGAGCCTGCTGTGGTAAGGAGCGTCTCTGCTCTTGGTGGAAAACGCTGCCATTCGGGGCTAGGAAGCAGCAGGTTATGGCCGTCCTCAGCCTAGATGGTAGACTGCTTGTCTGTGACCGTTAGGCATACTCCAGTCAAGCCTTTATTGGGGGGATCTTCAGCTGCCTGAGGAGGGTGCTGACATCCTTACGCACCAGTACCTCTAGCCAACTGGATATAATGTCTGCTTCAGTGGATCATTATTGTCCCATTCCCAGCATTTGTGTGGAATGTAGACCAGAGGAAGCCAGGAGAAGGAAGTGAGCACAGGGAGTGTGGTTAGGGTCACTGTTTTCCTTGTCATTCCCTCTTTTGCACTCCCATGGAACTTGGCCCCCTGCTTTCCTGCAGTGGGGAAGATGACACCGCAGATGACAACCCAGAGTCTCAAGAGATGTTAGAAGAACAACTGGTGAGGATGTTAACCCGAGAAGTCATGGACCTAATCAGTAAGTGGCATGTGGGATGCAGGGGTAGTAGAGAAGACTTTTTCTGGAAAAAGAAGTAGTCGCTCACCCAATCCCATTAAGGCATGTTTACAGCATTATTGACAGATGATTAAGAAATAATTAACTAGAGGGCGCCTGGGTGGCTCAGTTGGTTGGGCGACTGCCTTCGGCTCAGGTCATGATCCTGGAGTCCCGGAATCAAGTCCCGCATCGGGCTCCCTGCTCAGCGGGGAGTCTGCTTCTCCCTCTGACCCTCTTCCCTCTCGTGCTCTCTATCTCTCATTCTCTCTCTCTCAAATAAATAAATAAAATCTTTAAAAAAAAAAAAATAATTAACTAGATAGAAGCCAGGTAGTCCTTAAATCAACTTAAGGACATTCTGTGAATTGTAAACTGTATTGTATTTGCATTTGTAAGATCAGAATATGCGGGAATGGTCTAAAATAGCAGGAGAAATTTGGATTAATGGTAGGAGTAACTTCCTAGTTTTGTCAAAATAGGGGAAAAAAAAATTTTTTTTTTTAAAGATTTTATTTATTTGACAGAGACACAGCGAGAGAGGGAACACAAGCAGGGGGTGTGGGGGAGGGAGAAGCAGGCTCCCTGCTGAGCAGGGAGTCCGATGCAGGGCTCAATCCCAGGACCCTGGGATCATGACCTGAGCTGGGCAGATGCTTAACGACTAAGCCACCCCGGCACCCCAAAATGGGGAAAATTTTTAAAACTTGGACATGAAGGTGGCTAATTTTCTTTTTTCTTTTTTGGTCATTTCATTTGTTTGAGATCCATAGCAGACCAAATCCATATCAGCCATTCTCTCCTGGTCACCTACTCTCAGAAAAATCTGTCATTTCCCTCTAGTTAATTGAACTTAAAGGGGACCAGAGCAGTCTGGTCAAACACCTCTATTTCTGCTGGTGAAGGTGATTTTGTGCCTGGACAGTGCCCCACTTTCCCCCATCTTCATCTGCCCTGAAGACCATTCGGGATTTATTGGCCAGAGGTGGCTCTTTATATGGTGGCAGTAAGCCCAGTAACCCCAGTTTCTTGCTTTAGCGGTGTGCTGTGTTTCAAAGAAAAGTGCTGACCACGGTACTGCACCCCCTACAGATGGAGATGGTAAGTGAGCCTGCTGTGTGGCCCTCCAGAGGTCTGCCCTTAGACTCCGAAATACTGTCCCTTCTGTATCCAGGTCAGGTCATGTAGAAACGGTTTCCCCAGCCGTCTGTGCTGGGGGAGATATCCGCCTGGCTTATCTCTCTGCTGGCCCTCTTGCTGTATTCCTCCAGCATACTCCCACCGGAGAGCCTTTGCACTTGCTGTTTCCTCTACTAGAATAACTTTTCTCCTAACTGTATCCATGGCCTGTCCCCTTGCCTCATTCACATGTCACCTCTGAAAGGTCTTCCATGACCAACTTAGAAAAACTAGCCACCCCAGCCAGCCACTGTGTGTCCTTCCTTTGCTCTGTTTTTCTTCATAGCACTTAGCACTGCCTGACATTGTTTTACTTCATGTATTCCCTGTTTCCCTAACTAGGATGTAAACTCCCATCAGGGAAGGGACTTCATCCTATTCCTGTTACATCCCCAGGAACTTAGTGCCTGCTACAGTGGGGTCTTCAAATACTTCAACCACAAAAGATCCTCAGTGTTCGCAGCTTTTTGAGTAACTGTTCAGAGAATCTCCTGTTCCCCACTATTTTTCAAACTTCAGCCAGGTGCATCTCTAGACCTGCCATGGGCAGGGGCTTCTGCGCCTCTCAGGCAGCTGGTGGGGGCAGCCCGGGGTACTCAGCTTTCCCTTACGTGGTGGCCTGCTCTTCTCTGTTCCGAAAGGATGGAGTTTAACATTCTCCTCTCTGCTTACAGATGAAGAAATGATGGCCACAGAGGTCGCCCCCTCCACCATGACGGAGCTCACAGACCTGGGCAAATGCCTAATGAAGCATGAGGTGGGTAGAGGGGGCAGGGGAGGTTTTTCTGCTTTCCGGGTATGGCGCCAGCTTCCACTTTTCTCAACCTGTGATGCCATCGAAGAATTCTTTTGGGTAATGCTGCTTTATATGGGTTAAGCTCCTGGTTCCTAAAGCCCCCAGAAAACAGTGGGAGAGGTCAAGGTGTCTCCCATGCCGGCATGGGCAAAGGCTTTCAGAAAAACACACGGGCACGTTATGGTGTTCAGCCCCGCCCCCTGGCCTGAGCTTGGTCTCCTTACACATAGGTTTTCTTTTCTGTATGGATTGTTTTTTAGAGAGAGGGAATAAGCTTGTCTTCAGTAGCTGCTTTTATCACGTTCCTGTTTACCTATGAAAACGCCAGCTCCTCGTGTATAGGCCTACTCAGAAAATTGTGTTCATTTTCTCATTGTAATCCTTCATCCTTTCCCGCTAGGATGTTTGTACGGCGCTCTTAATTACAGCCTTCAATTCCCTTGCCTGGAAGGATACTCTGTCCTGCCAGAGGACGACCACCCAGCTCTGCTGGCCTCTGCTCAAACAAGTATGGTTATTCACCCCTTCTCCTCACTCACCCCTTACGAGAGGCTGGGGCCATGAGGATTCAATCGGTTGGAAGAATCGGGGTGCTGGGGCTCTCTGAGGGTACTCCGTTGGCCCTGAGCACAGCTGTGTCCCCAGGTGCTGTCAGGGACACTGCTCGCAGATGCTGTCACGTGGCTTTTCACCAGCGTGCTGAAGGGCTTACAGACGCACGGGCAGCATGACGGCTGCATGGCTTCCCTGGTGCACCTGGCCTTCCAGATCTACGAGGCGCTGGTGAGTCAGACAGCACGGAGGCCGGGTACGCTGCAGCTTCAGCCCTCGGGGCCCGCTCCCGGGCAGTGGGGCCGCCCCGAGACATGGGTGTGGTGGGGGATGGGGAAGGTGGCAGGGCCCCCATCTGCATCATGGCATGGTTTTCTATACACCCCCTCCACAGCGTCCCAGGTACCTGGAGATCAGAGCTGTGATGGAGCAGATCCCGGACATACAGAAGGACTCTCTGGACCAGTTTGACTGCAAGCTGTTGAACCCCTCTCTGCAGAAAGTGGCTGACAAGCGCCGGAAGGACCAATTCAAACGCCTCATCGCTGGCTGCATCGGGGTAGGTCACGCGCCTCCTGTAATGCCCCCCTAGTGCTCCCAGCCGGCTGGACCCACCCGTGTGGTCTTCTTAGACCGTGTGTCTGTGCAGACCAGAGACCAGCTGGAGTCAGGATCTTTCTTTTAATTTTTTTTAATAGATTTTATTTATTTATTTGTCAGAGAGAGCACAGGCAGAGGGAGAGGGAGAAGCAGGCCTCCCACGGAGCAGGGAGCCCGATGTGGGGCTCGATCCCAGGACCCCGGGATCATGACCTGAGCTGAAGGCAGACGCTTAGCCGACTGAGCCACCCAGGCGCCCCGGTCATGACAACCCGCTCCTCAGGGCCCAGCATCAGTTCTTCTCGTTTGTTTTCCACAGAAACCCTTAGGAGAGCAGTTCCGAAAAGAAGTTCACATTAAGAATCTTCCCTCACTTTTCAAAAAAACGAAGCCAATGCTGGAGACGGAGGTGCTGGACAACGAGGAGGGCGGCCTGGCCACCATCTTTGAACCCTGAATCAAACTTTTGGGCATTCTTCCTCGGCCTTTATTGTCATCTCTTGTTCCCCTTTGTAGCTAACGTCTAGGCCCCTCTCCACTGCCACCTCACTCTGCACCACTGTCAGCCTGGAGAGAGGTCCAGGTCTGGAGCTGGAGAGAGGGGGCCTGGGGCAGGGCAGAAGTAACAATATTAAGGTATCAAGAAAGGGAGTTTGTGCTCACACCATTCCGTCTAGATCTCCCAGCTATCTCCCCTTCTACTTGGAGTTTCCACTTTTCCACGAAAGAAAAGCTAGAGCAGACAGGCCCTACTCCCCAAGCCCTCCCACCCCCATGTAGCCGTACACCTGTGTAGAACGGTAACTCGGGGTGCTGACACCCAACACTGCGACTAGCCAGGCTTGCACAGGGGCTCGGTCCGCACTGCTTGTGCCAGAGTTCCTCCTGGGCCACTGCAAGTCCCACTGAGCCCCCCTACTGCTGGGCTGGCAGAGAACCTTCCCCGTCCCCCAGGGGCATGTCTGGGTCAGGTGCTGAGTGCTGAACTGAATGTGACCAGTTCCCTGTCTTTGTTTTGAGCAAGAATCTGGTCACCTGATGGGATTCCCCGGTCCAGGCTGCCGCCAAGCTCTGGATGCAGTGTCAAGTGGAGTACCATCAGGGACCACAGCTGGGCCAGGATCTGGAGTGCTTTCTGATATCCCCTTAGAGTTCACATGTATTCCCACGTATTCCATGCAGTCCCTCAGCGCGGTTTCCCCAGCCCCAGGATCCACTCAGGCATAAGAGCCACGGTACCCTATCTAGTGTCATGTGATGCCATTGGCATCGGAGGATAATGTAGACCAGCTAGGCTCTGTCTGTGACGAGCAGCTAACAAAGTCACTGGTCTCTTCTCGGACTAGTTGGGTCCAGGTGCCTTCAAAAATCTCATGGTCTTTCAGGTCCCTGGTCACTCTCATGGACCATTTCCAAAAGAAAAGAACATATGCCTTCCTATCACAACCTGTATTGTGAGGCTTCACTCTGTTCTCGAGGTCACTGGATGGCCCTGTAAGCAGAGGGGACACGAATGCAGGACCCTAGCCTTGAGTCCCTGCTGGCCATAGACAGCCTTAATCCATACAGAAACCAGATAGAGCGTCTGCGTTCTGTAGGAGGAGGCCTGTCGTCCGTGCAGCCCGTTGACACGAGGGTTTTGGGGGGAACCGAGCAGAACGGCCTGGGCGCAAGCTACAGCTGTGAGCTGGTGGCACCCGGGCAGGGTTGGAGAGAGGCGAGCCTGCGGAAACAGGACTTGGGGGTCCTGTGGAGCTGTTTCTGTGGCACAGATTTGCCCCATGCCCTCTTCCTGAGTGGTGCTTTGGGCCGCTTCCTGTCCACTGTGAAGGCTGCCTCCAAGTAGGTTTCCCTGCAAACCTGATGGCTGCCTACTTCTCCTCTCTCTGGTTGGGGCTGTGGAGGGCATAGTTGTATTTATTGTGCTGTAAGATTTTTAACATCCTGTGACTTCATGCTAGAAGTTTTCTATTGTTTATAGAACTTTTTGTAGAAACATTAACTCTAAAGCACATCTGCATGTCAGTAAAGATCTGTTTCATACAGAAAGGGCCCCATCTGCCTTTTTCAAACCAGTGACCTCTACTGTCACTGCTCATGAGCATAGCCTGCCAAGAGGACTGGACAGGAAGAGCTGTGACTGATGGACCAGCTTTCTCAAATAGTATGCCAGCCAGAAAAAGATTCCTATTGCCGACAGACCTAGACCAGGCTGCCCATACCAATCTCCTGGCGTCCTCTGTGGCTGCTGGGCTAGACTCAGAGGGACTGTCCAAAGACTTTTTTAAGGTCTTATTTTTAAGTAATCTCTACACCCAATGTGGGGCTTGAATTTACAATCCTGAGATCAAGTGTCACCTGCTCTACTTACTGAGCCAGCCAGGCACCCACCCTTGTGTGACACTTGATAGCAGGGTGACCTGATGGCTGTGGACCATCCTTTTTCCTCAGACACCCCCTCTGATGATCAAGGAAATGGTAAGGGGTACACGGTATCTTTCTGTGGCCCAGCTGAGCCCCCAGAAACCACCTCAATTTGGCGTTTCTCTTAAGGCTTCAGACGGACTTGGCCCTGACCTGCAGTGACACCTGAACCCAGTGTTCTGAGGGCTAAATGATGCCAAACCTCTTCTAAGGGGAGGCCCCATATTTTGAGGCTAAAACCCAGGAAGTAGTCTCTGACAAAAGGATTTTTATTCTGGATGTGAATTTATTTACATGAAGGCCTTACGAAGGCACGAGGTCACATTTTTGTGGCACATTCAACAAAATGTATTGACTGAAAATAACGCTAGAATTGTCCCAGAAAACCCAGGATCTCCAGTCACACTGGACTCTGGGGCAGTCCTGTGAGGGCAGGTCAGCACCCGAAATCTTCAGCTTGGCTCAGGAGCAGCCCAGCCGTGCGAAGAAGTCCAATGCAGACCTCAGTCCATCTGAACTGCATCCAGTTCATCCAAGAACCGCCGGCACTTCCCCATCAGTACCTTGATGGCTTCTCTCACTAGCACGTCTGGTGGCAGCACCCCCGTTGACTCGACAGAAACTGGGAAGCAGAGAGACCCTTGAGCCCAGGTGGGCGTGCACTAGCTCCTGTGCTATGTCACTGCCTGCTTCTGATCTGGACTCTGCACGGAAGCTGCAGTGCCACACACCTGCTCCGCAGCCCCCTCTGCACCCCCAACCCAATACTCACAGATGTAGTGGTCACGAACCCGAGCAAGTCGTACAAGCTTCTTTAGCTTCTCGTTCCGGAACACTTCCCTGCTGAAGGTATCTAGCCGGGGATTGGCAACTCTAGCCACCTTTTTACCTGATGAAAACAAACTATGTTCTAAATACACGAGCCCTGAGCTTTTCTTTCGGCTACCTTCACAGAAAATATACTTTAGGTCCTAACCTGAATGCATGGCATCCCAGATGTCCTACCTTGGACTTCTTGCACTTCAATGACCCCAGGTGAGAAGCACCGGCTCAGCTCCTCCGCTGCCTCCCCCTCCACAGGCTCAAGCAGGGTGATGTCCGGCAGGAGCCTGTAACTGGCTGTTGCCACGGGTGAAAACTTGGCATGATCTTTGCCTGGAGGGAAGACTGAAATCAGAGCCTGCGGGGACATCTTCACGTTAGACGAGCCCCTAAGAGCAGAGGCCCACTGGCTTTCTGCCTGTCAGGACCCCTCAGCTGAGCCCCTTCGTCACACCTCGCCCCACTGTAGTCACACTACCCTCCTGCCCCAGGCAGCCCCGCAGGGTTCTTACCAATGCCCTTGACACAGTGCATGAGCAGGTCAATCTCCTGGCCAGGCCGCAGTTGGGCAATGAGAATATCATCGTGCACTGGCCTGATGGTGCCCTCTGGGAAGAGGTCCGCCTGATTCCCCAGGGGCACCCATGTCATGTGCCTGGTGTACACTGGAGAAAGCACATCAGGAAAACCTCAGTCCTTAAAACTAGCATCTAGCAAGGGGTGGGCCTTCTTGCTCACCCTACCACTACTCACCTTTGTGGTTCACATAGAGTTCGTTGGGGTCAGAGGAATCTTTAGCAGCATGGGGGTTCCGTGTGCACCTGACCTGAAGCCGAAACTGCAGGGTATCTATCTCTGTGCCTTCTTCATCTCCTGAACAAAAGATGGAAGTGGCAACTCTTAATAACGACTAGAATGTTTGGGTGCCAGGCACTACACTGCGTGCATTGCTCTACATTGACCATTTAATCCTCTGGACAAATTTCAGAAGGCTAAGGGCAAGTGTTCGCACAGATCCCAACAACTGATGTAACAAAACATTAGTAACTTGCTCACGGTCGAACAGTAGCCCATCCAGGATTTGAACAGAGGCCACATGACTCTAGAATCAACTTTGGAAGAGTGCTATTCCCATTTTGCCACAATTTCATTTTCTCAAACACTGACCTTGGTTCCGATACTCAAAAAGACGGGGATCAGCATGAATGGGAATGAGCCCCAAGCGATGAGCAAGGATCTCATCCTGAACAATGGATGTGTTATTATACACGAGGACCTTTTCCACAGCCATGGTTGGCACCTGCCCAAGAAAACAGAATCATTCAGCTACAGAGACCCTACAGACTCCCCATTTACTCCCACTTCCTGACATGGGGGCACCTCTTCCTTGATGAAAAGTTTATGAGGAATGAGCAGGAGAAATGCTCAGCAAAACTGCAAGAAAACTAAAGGAAAGGGGCAACTTGAGAATTCAAGTAAGGTGATGACACAATTTCCCATGCAACTCCACCCTTGCCACTATGCCCACTGATAAATACCTCAGCTAATAAAATACGTCGAAAAGCATTGGCAATGGCTGCATCAATTCCCACCATGTCGAACTCCAATGAGTTTTCATCCAGGTGCACCACATCCACACGGAAATTCTGCAGGGACAGAAAATGCACTAAATGAAGCTTTCTCTCTGTGGAGTCAGTACCCTCCCCCTGGGTATTGCCCCCCAATGTTCTCTCTCACCCAAGAACCTCCCTTTGGCCAGATGTCCCTCATAGAAGTTCCTTTCTCCCCCAATCCTCTATTACAATAGTTCCCTGAAAAGTTTCCCTGTTTTTATCCTCTATTCGTTTAAAATCCTCTGTAATATGGCCTCCAGCCAGACCATACACAGAGACTGTTCCACTAGAGAACAGGCTTCCATACCGCTTCATCTAGTTGGCACTACTCAATCCTTATCTTACTAGACTCCTCTGTTGCATTCGGCATTGATAGAATCCCTCCATTTTCAAAGTCTGCCTTGGTTGGTTCTCTTCCTCCTCCTGAATCCTTCTAAATTCACTATCTTCTACCCACTCCATAAACATCACTATTTCCCAGATTTTTGTCTCTCTCCAAAGTGACCTCAATCACACTCATGGTTTTAACAACTACATGTACTGAAAACTTCCAAATTTATCTCACTTCTGATCTCATTTCAAACACACATTCTACTAGCCTGCTAGATTTCTCCACATACAGGAAACTTAATGCAGTATCATTCCCCTTCCCCAGACCTATTTCTCATCAGTAAATGGTACCACCATCCATTAAAGCAGTTCCTCAAGCTAGGTCATTTTACACTCCCTCCTCACAGCCGACATCAAAGCAATGACCAAGTTTACCTTCTATCTCCCCTTTGCTCTATTTTCCTGATTATAATCTTAGTTCATGCCTTCAATCTCCGCTCCTGTATGCAATCCTATCACAAATCTGACTGCCCTATCTGATCTTTGATTCATTCCCTCCCAGCTATTAAGGCTGCAAATCAGATCACATCTGCTTCAGAGCTCTTCAGAAGCTCCCTATCACCTACAGTGTCTAAGATGCACTTGGTTCTTGCCTACCACTCATGCTAGCACTTTACATTCTAGCAATAATAAACTGCTAGGACATTCCCAGAACACAGTTCACAAAGCCTTTATCATTTAGCTTCTAAGTCTTAGTTTCTCCTCCCCCT